CAAATGTGACCAGCTGTGCATTGCTTAGAAGCATATGTGTGGATGTTTATTCGAAGGGACTCTCACTGGTTATAGAATTTATCATTAATCATTTCCAAAACTTCAAAAGACTCACCTGGAGCCCTCACACAACAGCGTCACATCACAGGGGACGAAGGGCATCACTTTTAGTGTTACATGAGCATGTGCTGCAATTTGAGTGATTACCAGTGAGACCCATGATTTTAATCCTGTACAAATCTGCTATGTTGTTACTTTTTACAAGTCTGCTAAGTAATAATTCCGGAGCACTCTCCTACAATTCGCCAAACTCCCGAACTCCCTCAGTAATAGTGGTCCTGCCAGAGAACTTGTAGAGAAGAGAATTACCTCTTTAATGTCTACCGGGTTTCTCAAAAGCAAGACGGCGCAGTAGCAGTAATGTTAGCGTCCTGCTGCTCAAAACACGTTTTCTGTAGAAACAATTAAACATACAGGAACCTTTTCTTTGTTTTTTTAGTGAAATACATCCTTCTGTTTTCTAAAGTTAAAGGAAAGTTCTGGGCAAGTGATTAGAAACTATTTTAACTTTTCATTTTTAGCCGTTTAGCTCCATTTATCCCCATTCATTGAGGACCCTGTCAAAAAACAGCTCTGGTCCTGCTATGGACAAAAATTCGAACACGGAGCTGGTGAATAAAAAGCCTGAAATCCACAACCCTTTTTGTGATGGCTGAATTACAAGGAGAAGAAAAATCAACTTAAAAGCACCTTTTGCCTGGCAGTGTTCTTGAGCACCATTTGGTTAAGTTGGAAAAACCCACTTTACTAGCCTAACGCTAGTCCGCACAATGTGGTTATTTTTGCGGTGCCTGTTGCATAATGCTGATGTAAACGTCTGTGCGATGCATTCTGATCCGGGCTACCTGGGGTAAAGTAGGGAAATTACACAAATTATTTATCCTGTACAAATAGGCCAGTCAAAACATGCACAACTTACTCCTCTGGTAAAACTAATCCAGCTCTAATAGGGCTTATGACACATATTTTCCATCGGCAGATTTACTAGTGGGCAATATATAGAAGCTGCTGGTGATCTTAGAACAATGACCCTGTCCACCCTGTCCAGCTCTCAACATCACTGAAGACTGAACTTCAGAGATGTGGAAGAATATCCTACGGACGCATATCAGTATCAAAATTAAAAGGAAAATGTAATATGTAAAATGGCAATGTATGTCTGCATTTAAATTACTCCGTCATATATGCAATGTTGAGCTCAAAATGAATATTAAAATTTACTACTGCAATTTTAATTTGCCATTTGATATACTGACATTTTGTTCAGACTTAGATGCTTTGAGTAGCTTTATTTAAATTAAAATGTATTTCCAGAATTGCATATTTATGCTTAATGTGCTTATGTAATAATTTTGTCAATAACATTATAAGCTTTTCACTCTTCAAAAATACATTTAAATTGTATTATCAAAGAGAACAACAAGCTAGAAAAAAGCGCCTCCCATCTTTACTAATACATATTTTCACCTACTGAGCTCATTCTGTAGCAAAATGCCTTTGAAATTGCATTTTCATTTTCATGGACTTCCCAACCTGTCAATCATCTCATCAAGGGGCCAAGAGTGGAAAAGGCTTTATCTAAAAACATGGTGGCCAAAGAGTCTACAGATACCCTTGCATTGATGAGGTGAGGAGAAATACAGCCATTTGTGACACTTGGCGTCTTTATACATGACCTCACGAGAAAGTGTTTAATCAAACGTGTGGCCAAGTTTTCTGGTTTATCAATCTGGCTGATAAAAAAAGAGGCTGATCAAGGCTGACCTGAGGCTTCGTTCTCGTCTTTTCCGGTCCACCTTAAACAGTGCAGCAGGTAAAATTGGGTAATTTTTTTCAGACCTATGCAGATTTTCATCCTAAAAGCCTTTGTATGCTTCCACGTTCATGATTCCATCAATGAACACAAACTCACCAGCATCACTGTATGACAAGCAGCCTCAGTCTTTGACATTTCCATCTGTGCTTTACAGCACTCTCAGTGCAGTCTGGTTGGAATTATTCTCCAGGCTTTTTCCACACTGACTCTACAGTCAGTCTGGTGCTGGGCTAAAAAGTTTTCCTTTGAACCATCACTTGGTTAACATTTGATAAGGTACCATACAGAATTTTACTAGTGTTTACCACTGGTTAAAATGTCACTGTATCTGCAACAGTTATGCGGAGTGAAATGTCTTTAGAGGTCAAGAGAATGGCCTGACTGGTTCCAGCTGACAAAATGGCTAGTCACTACTCAGATAAACACTCTCCGGTGAGCAGAAAACATCTCAAAATGCACAACAAATCTTGAGGTGGATGGACTACAACAGCAGAAGACCACAGCAGGTTCCACTTCTGTCAGTCAAGAATAGAAAGCTGAGGCTGCAGTTGGCACAGGCTCACCCAAAACCGGACACCTGAAGACTGGAAAAACATAGCCTGGTTTGATGAATCTCTATTTCTGCTGAGGCACACAGATCATGCAGTGAATCCATGGACCCAACTTCTCGTGTCCACAGCTCAGGCTGGTGGAGGTGGTGTAAAAATGTGGGGAATGTTTCCTTGGCACCATTTGGGCCCATTAATACCAATCAACACTAGAATGCCATAGCATATTTGAGTATTGTTGCTGACCATGCACATCTCTTCTGGACACAATATACCATCTTCTAATGGCTACTTCCAGCATGATAATGCACCATGTCACAGAGCAAAGTCATCTCAAACTGGTTTCACGAATATGACAATGAGCTCAGAGTTCTACCGTGACCTTCCCAGTAACTGTCTTATGTGGTAAAACGGGTGATTCACATGAACGTGCACCTAAAAAATCTGCAGGAACTGCATGATGCAAATGTCAACATGGACCAGAATCTCAAAGTAACATCTAGTGGAATCCACACCATTAAGAATTGTAGTTGTTTTGAGAGCAATGGGAGGCCCTGCCCAGAACTAGTACAGTGTTCCTAATAGTGCTCAGTGAGTGTTTACATACATTTCTCCTGACTCTAACATCTACATTTGCATACTTAAGCCCATTTTTTACAATTGCCCTAACCGCTTTTTGATTTCCCTGCCCCCCCCACTGAAGACTCAAAGGTTAATGCTGAATTAACAGTTCAGCTATAAAACAGGATTTTTTGGTTACAGTAACAATTAGCTCTGCAAGATACACTACTGCCACAGAAATCACACACAAAATTGTACAAAAAGTATTAAGTTTATTGAAAAGGTTTACACATTAAGACCATCATTAAAAAAAATGTAAAAAATGAAAATTGTTTTTAAAAAGAACTTGTGTGAAATAAGTTTCAAACCCTCACTAAATAGTTACAAGATTTAAAAGAAAGCATTTAAAAATCAATTCAGCTCTCCTTAGGAGATCAGAAATGGCACCAACAGCCTGTTGGGGGCTGGACAGAAAGAAAGAAAGAAAGAAAGAAAGAAAGAAAGAAAGAAAGAAAAAGAAAGAGCAATTAACAACAGCTTAGACTCCTCTTTAATTCTTACATGTCTCATTACTGTCTAGTCATTTACACAGAGAAATTTAAGCCACCCCCCACATCCCACCCCCAATTCACTACACTAAAGTCAACATGGAAAACCTGCCTTTAGTGGCCCTTTGGTCCAGTCACATTACTTGAGCCCTGAGGAACACCATCAGGTACCAGCATCAGCATCTGGTCGACAGTAGAAAACGAGAGTCAGTAATTCATAGAGATCACAGACAACTAACATGTATTACTCTACAGTTATGCAACTCATGCCTTTTTATAATAAATTTTATTCAAACTATTTTTAAAAGACTTAAAAACTAATAAAGCTATTTTATGTATAACTATAATACCGGATTTAGACTATTTTTCAGAAAAAAAAAAAAATCTCATTTTAGAGCAAGAGTTGCACATATTTCTATACAAATTCTACAAAATGTGGTTTTCAAAACCAATTTTAATGGCATATTCATTGTTTAACTGTATCTATAGATTTTGAACTTGTAAAGACCTATTTCTTTTATTTATTTTTGATTTTTTTTTGTTACACAAAGAAAATAACAGTTCTATTAAGAAAGAGATTTAGGGCAGATGTTACCTTTTGTTGCGATTCCTAGACTTTACGCCTCCTTCCTCAATTTTGTTCTTTATTATGTCAGCCCACGAAAGCCAAGTAAGCCTGCAAGTTTGCAATCTTCTTCACAGTACGTGTTTCATTCACACTACACATACAGTTATCCGCGTGGCGAGCACGAGGTAAGAATAGTTCTCTTTTCTTGATACATTTTGATGTACAAGCCCAATGAGATACATTGTTCTTGAGACTTGCTGGTGCCTTTTGATTATACGTTACCTTCCTTTAAAGGGTTAGCTATTTTAGAGGCCACTTTGCAGGTCTCACCTCATGATCCTTTTCAATAGAAGAAAAATATGGAGTGAGTAATAAGTTTTTTTCCTAAAAATAAAAAACATCAGATGGTATTGGTGCAGGTGAACAGTGCACAGTGCACCGACCTCTTTCAAGACAGTAAAACTATTTGCTGTATTGTGTATAAATCATTGAATTCAAAATTTAGCATAAACAGGTAAATTAATGGGGGGGGAAAGTAATTTGCAAGCTACTGAAGAGACGCAAAAATTGGGAAACTGAGCATTTATTTTTCAATTTTAATTGTCTTCGTTAATCAAGTATACAAACTGGGGCCATGGACTTTGAATTATGAAAATTAGAATAAGCAATTTCCACAATTTAATAACAGCCGTCTTAATTGGTTTCTAATTAGCAACGGTTTATACACAATATTTTTCCATGATATTGAAGTGTTGCATGGAACAAACTCAGCTTTGTATAAAAGTACATGTGGTATGTCTGCATGCAAAGTTTTTGAAACAAGGTCAGTTTTGCAAACTTACTTCAGTTAGTGAATGTCATTTATGTACTGACTGCTACAACAAAAGCAAAATACCAGGTTTTGTTAGCTGGAAAAGAAGATTGCGCTTTATTGACATACTACAGAAAAACAGATTTAGTTTCCTATTTAGGCAACGAACACAAGTATACTTATTTTGTGAAACGCAAAGCTATAAACAGCAAAGTAGAGAATTTGAGTTTAAGTAAGTGGAGTATATAAGTCCAGGTAACTTATATACATCATATTAGGCTGGCCATATTTTTCTTGCTGGGAGAGACAAATGTTTGCTCCATCCTTCATACAAAATAAGACAAAATTGCCTGAAATTAATGAGCATTTTGTTTCTGCTAACCATTGTCAAACTATTAGTGTTGGTTCGTACATGTGTCCAACTTTTGTACAAATTTTAAATACTTTCCCCCATTCATTTTGAAGCCTTTGGGTGAAAAGGCCATTTAAGTTTTTGTATTTGGGATGCTCAAAAGCGCTTTTATATAAACTAAGTGTATAACGATTGACATGTGTTAAGTTTTTGAGACAAAATCAGGCTATTCATAGGACCTGCAGAAGAACACTACTTAAGAGACATAGGCCTAAATACTAACCAGAAATAATTAGCTGTTCAAATCATAAGCAAAAATATCAACGCGCAAGACAACAATGCAAATAGGAATAAACAGAAGTCAACAGAATGCCTAAATAAGCATAATCCTTACTGTAACTACAAAAGGTTGTCCAAACAAGTTTTTTTAAGCATTAAAAAAAAAGCAGTCAGTGGCAAATAAAAAAAAAAGAAAAAGAAAAAAAACAAACAAACAAAAACACCGAAAAATAAATCTAAAATTACTTTGAGTTGTTAAAAGGAGTTACAATGGGAGGTGGTTGCCCAGGCAACCCAAGTGATTGAGACGTCTCAGAATCTTCCATATGGATGTTCCCGATATGTTCCTTTGTTCTGCCTTGAAGAAGCAGCTTTTCCCCCGTTTCCACCCCAAGCAGCACCATCCCAGTTATCGTCAGCTGGAAAAGAGGGAGAAGAATAGGAAAAACGTGAACAATCACATGCACAAAGCTAAATCAAACACAAAGCAGCGTTCATACTCATGAAGCCTCTCAGAGTAGAAGTACTAATCTAGCACCTGTTCTTGTCAGGAAAGTAAGAAAATATGACTCTTCCTAAATAAACAGTCCTACTCTGAGAAGCTTTGTGAATACAGGCCCTGGAGTGTAACTCAGCTCAGCTTTGTGAGAATGAAAACCTTAAGAGTCATCTTGCTTGATTGTACCATATTAGGCCACCTCCCACATATCTAGTACGTTTTAAAACTTCAGTGTCCATACTACATTCACCAAAGAGAAGCAATGGAAAACTACGAACCAAGTTATTCAATTATTTAAATAAACATTGCAAACAAAGTGCCATCAAACAAACAGACAGAACATGATTGCAAACAAATTCCATGCAGCCATTTCATTGGTTAATCCTGTTTAAAGTAACAGCGCTGTGTAACATTAGTGGTGTCTTACCATAAGATTCATAGGTATCGGGAGCTTCACCGTGACCGTAGTCGTAGTACTCTGTATCGCTGCATGAAGGCAAGAAAATATATCAACTTAATGCAATTTGATTCTGGTGCTGCTGACACCATGTTTGATTACAGGATTACATTACATTTAACAGACAGTTCACTTCAGTCCTGCCCAAAAACGACCGCTTGGGGTGTGATTTGAATATATGGGGGTCCAGAGTGTCTTAATATTTGTTTATTCACATATTAACATAAAACAAGTTTGGATCTCAGTTACAAACTCATTTAAATATATTTTTGACTACAAGTGACAGTGGCACAAAGTCAGGACACCAACAGCTGATGGTCACAAAATCAAACAAATGATCAAGTACAGATCTTGTGCTTGCTGCATACAAATGAATGTAAGCTTTGTTAACATAGGACATTTCATGACTCACTGCAAAAAAAATTTAAACAGCAAAAACAGTTCAAATGTCCAATATATTATTAACATGCAGCAGGAAGAAGGGGGGGGAGAAAAAAAAAAAATTGGAGGAGCACTTTCTATTGGTCCAAAAAGCGGTGACTTACGCCTGTGGAGCTGACTGGCTGTAGTAGTTATCGTACCCTTCGTAAGCAGGTTCAGCATAGCTCTCATCATAAGCCTAAAGGGAAATTATGAGTTAGCAAAAATCATAAAAACATGCCTCAGGTAGGGCAAACGAGTCAAATATTAAGTCTTTACTGGATGAGCAAGGTGCAGAAACTCACATATTCCTCGTATGATTCTGGTGGCTGTTGGTGATGTGGCTGGTGTTGCTGGTGGGACATTGCAGGGGCAGGGGCCATCCTCTGAGCGGCAGAAGGAGGCCTGGATCGCCCGGCAGCTCCACCACGGTTAGAGGAAGATGGAAGGGGGCCACCACGGCCCACAGGTGCCCCTCTTGCTGAAGCTCCTCGGCCTGGACCTCCTCGAGGGGCCCCACCACGGGGTGCTCCACCTCGTGGGGGCATACCACGACCCCTGAAGCAAAATTTCAATGAATAGGTGCACTTTCTATAATTTGGTCAATCTTTGCATCAGCACTCGCTGACTGTCAATCACTTAAATTTCTTTCAAAAGATGTTTTCTACTGTGTGAAACCATTTCATTTACAATAAAGGTCACATCTGCACGGGTGAGTGAAAACCTTAGGTGCGCAGCATTGTCACAATAAGTCATCAAATCACTAAAAACTACTTTCATTACACTTTCAAGTTCAAAACCAGAGGACTTCCAGTACATTATTTCCATTACAAAAACGAAGTGCAAATACCACAATGAGTAGGTCTCTAGTACAAAACCGCAAACCATTTTCTGATTTTATCATAAGACCCCTAAATGCTGCCTTGTAAAGCATTAATGTCTTAGTTGTAAGAACAAAATGAGATTCCCTCACCTGACTCCACCCAAAGGAGGTGGTGGGCCTCCACGGCCCCTGACGAGACCACCTCTTCCACGACCAGGGACATCCTGAGATCCGTTCAGATAGCCAACATCCATGAATGGGTCTGGGTGCATCTCATCCATGTTTTCCACCTGAAACACCACAGAAAGGGCACTCTTACAACAGATCTCACCCTTCAGAATTTACCATGTACAACTATATACCAGGGAGGACCTGATTAAGTTGAGCAATTGTTACATAAAAACTAAAAGTAGTACATTAAAACTCAATTCACTAACATATGTATAGCCTAAAACAAAATACTGGAGGAAAACAAAATCAATGAATCTCATGAACTGTCCCTACGTAGCCATATAGCCGTATAAAACACTTGGAGCACAACTACAGTAAAATTGCTAGACACTTCTTGAAACTCCTATGATGACAAGATTTTTCAAAGTGTTAGAAGTAGGAGGTTACAAACAACCATGTAAAACAGTGGTTTACAACACGTTGCAGCAGCAAAGCCCTTGAGTAACTTTCAGAACAGCATGCTGGGAAATTTTTTTGGGAATGCGGGGAAGGTTTCTTCAAATCAGCTACTTAAAACGTTGTCCAAAAGGCTCACTGTCATGTTGCACAGAGCAGGTCAGTAGACTGCATGCTGTTGGTGAGTGGTTAGCATTTTGATTTAAGGTGATACATATTTTAAGCCAGCCACCCAATTAACCATACAACAAAGACAAAGCCAGCAATGTCTCACCAGAAAACCTGACAATATTAATTTTACACGTCAGGCTGTTAATTTTTAATTTGAGTAATTCATTTGTCTCTTAACACTCAAATTAATCAAAACACCTATCCTTACTGTAAACTGATGCAAAGGCAACTTGGCTTCAATGGAACAAATCACTGTGCATTTAATTTCACTTGAGACGTACAGGCATAAGGAACTTCTTGACTTCATCCATAGCATGAGCCATACGCAGGTAGCACTCAGGGATTGGAGCAAACACTTCAATGTACACATGCAGCTCCATAGCCAGATGAGCGTATTTGGGCTCACCTCCCTTCCTCAGCTCCTCCTCCTAAAACAGACAAAAGCCACATTTTCAATCAAAACTCTCGAAATCAAGCTGTTTTACATCAAAACAGTTTCATAATTTGATAACTAACACAATGTAAAAAAGGACTGGAAAATAACTGAGAAAAACAAACAGTCTTTAATTCAAAAGACTTTCATTGTGCTAGCCAATTATGTCCTGTACACAGGACAAAAACATAGTAGTTACCTTGTTCTTGTCCCTCATGGAGCCCTTCCCCAGCACTGAGATTTTGGCTCCAGTGTCCTCCTGCAGCCGTTTGATGGTGCTGCCCTGGGGTCCAAGAATCTTCCCCACAAAATTAAACTGAGGGGATAATAAGGATATAGTTTAAATCACCAATTTGTACTGTATGCACGCTTGCTTAGACACTAAGCAAGTGAAATCCTTTGAAGCAAGAAAGCTCATTCACACTTTGGCTAGCTTAACAATATCAATATTAAAGCCTGAAAGGCCCAACACTGAGCAACTGTCCAATATCCACTCAATACACTTGCAATCTACTTTTAATATAAACGTTCCACTCACCCGAGGGTACTGCTTTACAGGAATAAGCACACGCTCCGTCACCCGGACATTTTTGGTGGTGAACAGGTCCAGGTAAGTTTCTTCATCTTTTTTAGGCTCTCCTTTCTGAATCCTTTCAATCTCTGCAACAGTCACAATATAGGCAATGTTACTCCTGACACTCTCACTTTCAGTTTCACAATGCTGTAGCCAACAGGGTCACTATTTAAAATATATTTAATTAAAAAAAAAGAAAAAAAAATGTATACTTGTGGGGGATTGTGTCTCAAACAATCCAGAATGGGTGGTGAAAATGAGCATCAGCCACTTCGGGCAAATATCTGTGATGTACTGAGCAAGATGGTGGGTAACGTTTTTAATGAACTAAAAAATACATACATAAATACATAAACTTGTTAAAAGTACAGTGTAAGTAAATTACCAATGGGGGAAAAAACCTGATGGTCTGATATCTATCTCTACAGCCCGTCAACATACCTGGGTGGGGGACCTTATTTATTAGCCATACGATTTATTTAAAATTCATCCCAGTTTTCACTGTGCTGAATAAATTCAGGACTGTTTCCAATGCACACACTGGTGGAGTGCTGAATGGGTGGCATGGGACAGTGCAGGAGGAAAGAGCACTCAACGTCTACAGCCCACACTCTCCACTGCAAGATTATTGAGCAGCTGACTCATCATAGTTGGTCAATTGCCGGTCCAATATGACAGTTCAGATCTGTTTAAGTGGAAGCTTGCAGCCCTACACAACTGTAAAACTGGCCCTCTAAACACTACACCACACAAGCAATAACTAGGACAGAAGAGGCTTAGTAAGCATTTGCTGGTACTTGGCACCTGCCTTGGAGGCAATATCCCAGCCCATTTTATAAAATAACCCAAATAACTACTTGTACCACACCTGAACCAGATTTTACTAAGTTGAGAATAACACCAAAAAAGGAGTCCTTGTGCTGCTCACTGCAATTCAGAGTCATCAATACAATTCAAGCTAAACCGATTAAACATGCACCAGGACGGCAGCCAGCAAATGATGCACTAATACGAGCTCAAGAATTTGGCTCCACAAACACCTTTCAGGAACTACTTTACATTCCATATTTCATGGTGAGAAGATAAACAGGCCTCGGTACGACAGTTCGCACGGAGTACGTTTATTCTGCACACACATTTCCACTTTCTGTTTTGTAACTCATTTCACTTCCCCTGGTTGTCATCACTGTTTTACAAAGTCCAGTCCAAAACCAGGACTAAATTTCAGGACATAACTGGCTTTTTCCATCAAACACAACAGTGCCATCAGGAGGAGATTACACTGCATTCACTGAATTCTGCCCATTTTATAAAACGAGATTTGTATCTGCCCACACTGAGGGATTCTTTATACAGAAAACTGAAGAGGGAAAATGGTTTGACTAAGACTAAAAATCCAATCAGATAAAATGATCCAGGGCAGCCACGCATATTTTGAACTCATCTTCTCTACACACTTAAACATGGTTTTTCAAGAATGATTTAGTGAAGACAGTGGTTCTATTTAAAACAGAAAACCTTTTGCATGGTGAAAGGTTCTTTAAATCGTGGCGAATGCGTTACTTACAGTTACATGCAGAACCATTGAATATGGTTCTATATAGCACCAAAAAGGGTTCTCCTATTGTTACAATCTCAAGCTTGTAACAATAGAAGAACCATTTTTGATGCTACAGAGAAACGCATGCAGGTTAACATTCTCCACCAATCAGAACTCCTCCCACATGCAAAGAACCAATTTAGCATGCAAATGGTTCTTTATTGAACCATTCCCTCACAGAAAGAACCCCTGAAGCACCACCATTTTCAAGTATGTAGTAAAAGCAGCCCATTCAGATGTCTCTAACTGGACAATGAGTTCAAACACGGGAGAAAAGCGGACTTACTCAAAAGAAAAACACTATTTTTTAAACAGAGATTTAAGATGTTCAGTCCTGTGCGTGCTGCTCTGTAACTTAGCAGAATCTCTCACATTCAGGTTTACATGTGGCTAAATCAGCCTATTGTTTAAAGTGTAACGTTATTAACAGTTGGAAAAAACCTAACGAAGCTTTAAGGTTTGATAGTCTTAGAAAAGTGATAAATTTCTCTTCATTTATTTGAAGCTACACTGAATTAAAAAAAAAATCAAATGTAACGCTACACCGTTTCGTCTGGTTTTCAGTAACCATGGTAAACGCTAGTATCAACACCTCGTGTTTTATGTTCTCAACTGGCTAAATATCGTATTGTCCAGCAACTAAACGAATATTTACAAAGAAAATGTTCACTAAATTAACATTTACAAAGAAAGCTGTTTTCAGTAAACGAACAGTGAAAGGCTCTGAGAATGTGGGCCATATTGTTCAATAGCCGCCTGAAAACAAACGGTTCCCGAGAAACGCAGCGGTTAGCTGAGCTTCAAATTCGCCAAGTTAGTTAGCTCGTTTGAATTTTCCCTTTTCACCCCAAATTAAACATCGGTAGCGTGCAACTGCTGCACCATTTAACGTGGAACGGGAGAATCTGAACAAGAAGGCGGCGAATAAGAAGCTTCGTCATTAGCTGCTAGCCTAGCCTGGCTAACGCTAGGCCTCACTCCACGTTGTCGGCGTTACGGAGCCATTAGCGCGCCATTTTAGCCAACAAACATGCGCTTGAAAAAACACCACATAAACAACAAACAAACAAAAAACAGATTACAGACTATCTGCGGACTATAAGGCGCTGCGCACCTGCAGTGAGGAGTTTCATGGCGTGAGTAAAGGACGAGTCCAGGCTGTCCTTCTCCGCCAGCAGCTCGGGCAGATATTTGCTCTCATTCTCCATTTTGGGGCCGCCGGGGTTCGCCTTCTTCCCTTTATTGTTGTTGTTGCGGTTGTCTTTCACATCCATGTTGGCGAGTTTACACGACGGAAAAACGACTCCGATGTAGTGATGAAGCTGTATTAAAGTGCGGTTTCCTCTGTGGACCCGGCGCTGCTGTTGAACGAGGAGCGGGTTTTATGCAGCTTCTCGAACAAAGAAGCTCGAGGAGGGCTGAGCCGGAGATGACGTCGTGCATGAAAACGAAGCTGATGCCTTTTGAAAAGAGATGCGTCGTTTGTTTGTTTGTTTGTTTGTTTGTTTGTCTGTTTTCACGCTATAGATTTAGGCAAAATAAACGTAGAGTCTGTTTAAGTGGGTCACTGGCAGCGTATCAACCTGTGTAAAATCATATGGAAACGTTTGGGCCACAATAATGTCCATATCGGTGTGTTCTCCGAGACTCGAACAACCCAAAATGATCAAACCGATGGCTAAAAGTGGCTTTTAGCCAGAGGTAACACTAGTTGTGTTTGTTTGCTGTAAGTAAAACAAACAAACAAACAAACAAAAAACATTCAAGAATTATTTTTGTTGTATCATTTTGCCAAAATAAATTCAAAACAGTCCACTATATTTCCTGGTGACGCATACACTCTTTTGTGGCTTACTGTATTTGTTTTAGGTTGATATTTTAAGTGCAAAATACATATTTAGCCATATTTAGTCATTGGATTGTTGTTGAAGGATAATGGTATTTGTTAAAAACTGTTTTTGGAGCCTTTTTGGCGACTTATTGTTTTTTACATTGTTCAATTAACAAAAAGCAATGACATTCCCATTCTCAACCACTAGAGGGCATGGATACACCACTCAGACTACAGCTCCAGCTTTAAACTGCAACCTCTCTAAGTTTTGCAAACAGCAAAGGTTTAAATGTGCACTTATGTTCAAAATGTGATCAAAAGTATGATCAAATATCCGAGAAAGTGCAAGTCTATGACCAAGGGTCAGAATCTAAATAGAGCAAAGATTACAAAAGCCAGTTTATTGTAAAAGGTAACAGAGTGTGTTACTGGATGTTTTGAGATCATTCAGTGTTGCTTCAGCTTTTATGCTCCTCTAACGTAAGCTATAAATATATAGTGAGTTCCAAAAGTTTTTGAGGCTTATTTTTCCACTCACCAAATTATTTGTACAAACATTCTGTGTGAGTGAGATTCTTACAAGATTCTTATACAAAGATGTAAAGAAATATACAGTCCAATATCTATAGGACCTATAGAGTTCTATAGGATTTATAGAGTTCAAAATCATCCAGAAATAACTCTATAGTTGTGGTTCTACAATTACAGATTGTAGCCCATCCGTTGCTCTGCATACTTTGTTAGCCCCCTTGGTCAGGACCCCCACAGGACCACCACAGAGCATTCATTATTTGGGTGGCGGATCATTCTCAGCACTGCAGTGACACTGACGTGGCTGTGATGTGTTAGTGCGTGTTGTGCTGGTATGAGTGGACCAGACACAGCAGTGATGCTGAGAAACAGATGGACTACAGTCTGTAATTGTTGAACTACAAAGTGCACCTATATGGACAATGAGTGTAGAAACAAGGAGATGGCTTTAATGTTATGGCTGATGGCTGAATCTGATTGGTACATCCTTATATATCCTTTCCACAGCTTTCCTGGTGTGTATGCTTTGCTAGGTAGTTTCTGCATGTGCTGAATTGCCGATTGCATCTTTCCCCAGAACTAGTAAAGAGTGAACAGGGAGTGAAATGTAGAAATGCTGGTATAAAGTTTACATTCTTTGTTAATTCAATTTTAGAAGTCAGACGTCACACACATACTCAGCTGAGCGGCTTCAGCAAATCAGGGGGCATTATTCAGTGCTTGCCTGACGATCACCTGCAGATTGCCCCATTGACCACAATGGAAGTGATAACAGGTCCAGCCTACTGGTCTTCTTGTGTCTGTCACCCGATAGTTGACTGCTGTGCGATTCACAAAAGACTGAATGATGGTCCAGTTTATTGTTGTGGCACTGTGCTGTCCCTCTTAGAAATGCAAACAGTTGCTTGGTTAAATGGCTGGACATTAGATCACTTAATCTATTTACAAATAAAGAAAACATATGCAGTAAAGAGATATACAGATTTTCAAATATATTCACACATGAAAGAATATAATTGTAAGGTGTTTTATAGATTGAGGGAAAATAAACATAGAACCTGTGTAATAGGTCACTGGTAGCATGTCAACATGCGTAAGATCGTATGGAAAAATTTGGGTCACATTAGTGTCCATATCTGAATTTTAAATGTCCTTTTTTCTGTATCTTCTCTAAGCAGAAATCTGAAGATATTATCAAAATTGATCAAACTATATGGCTAAACGTGAGCTTTATCATTTAGTTTCTCATATTAAATTCAGTCACATGTGACCACTGATTTTTAATCAAATTATGACAAGCACACTTAAACAAAACAATCCAAAAGAGTATTATTAGATGGTCATCCAATATATAACTATACAACATTTACAAAATCACGTTAGACCAATCAGAAAGAGTTCTGTGGTGTATGCTTTATTGTTACACTAAATATAGTTATTGGACATGAATGGGTTAAGACTGTTTGGCATTTATGGATGGAGTATGGACAGGTAAATTCATTCAATTTCCCATTAGCTTCAAAGACATCAAGTTGCTCAAATATTAGCCTATTTAATTCTATCCTTAAAGAGGAAGTTCACTGTAGTTTCGAATTTTATGTATAATTCAGTCATTAAAATCTAAATGCCTCTAAATCCTACCTGACAAAAATGAAATTGTTATGAATGTGCTGTCTGATGCCTGAGACATTGTTTTATGATAGTTTTGAGAAAAAGTTTTGGCCTAAAATGCATTTTTAAAACACATTCATAGTGGAGAGTTACATATAGATCTTTATAAGGCAAAAATAGTCCTCTAAAAACATGCTTTTTCAGATTTACTGCTGTTTTCTCATAATCATTATTACATATACAACTCATGTAGGTTCAATGGTCATTTTGTACTGTGCATAAACTGGCTGTATTTACATTGTAGACACCATGACCCCTGATTCTGATGACTGCTGTAAGGAAATTGGAGCCTGTATACTGTTCACCAATGAACTACTTCACATTCAGCCACTCTGGACTCTCAGAAATACTAAGGGTACTAAACTGTTACTGGGGTGGTACCCTCAAGGGTACATCTCAGTATCTTTAGTCAGAGAACATAATTGTACCATAATCTATTGAAATCATATTTTCTAAGCTGTACTGGCTCCACACACCCCGTCTCGTCTCCAGGCTTTTTATTTTATTGTTCTGTTTTAAAACATTTGGTTATCAAAAGGTACAAATACTAACTTTTCACCTGGAAAAAAAGGTATTTAAGGTTCACAATTAGACCTTGAAACCACTGTTGTACCTTTGAGGGAACATTTACATTGTTTGTACCTTGATGAACGAAAAACGTACCTGCACAGAACCTTTATTTCTAACAGTGTATATAACTGTTTACATCATCAATTAGAAAAATAGGTGTTCATTTTTAACCATATTCAATCAAAGTAACAACTGTGCTGAAATGACTGTACAACAGAGGTGAACATGGCACTTTTATTCGATCAAAGTCACACACCACGTTTTATAATTTCCTTGCTTATCACAGAGTATATGATCATCAATCACACTGAGTAAGAAAAGAGTAATAAAACTGATTTGCTTCCTAGAGCCAGTCCAGCACTGCTGTAGAGCTTCCTCTGTCTCTTAAAGAGACGCCCCACACAATCAACACCAATCGACGACTGCTATGGGCGCACCGTCCACAACGTTATACAGATCTGCACATGAAGAGAGAATCAGCAAGTCCTGCTGAGTTTCATTCGAAGTACCCTGGATTAATACACAGTAACAGAATTAAAGACAAATCAACAGTGCTTACTCTTACATAGACAATGTCTTCGGTTTGGGATGTAATCTGTGGGCATACTTTAACCAAATAGCAGTGGGTACAAAGCTGGTTTACTGGTATAAATGAGCAAAGCTAGCCAGCAATCAGCCGAGGCATTCTTCTTCTATCAGCCGCTGACTGATTACTGAATTGACAACTGAAATGACAACAGTGTTACCAGCCAAGGCCTTGGTAATCCAGCCCAGTAGCATTAAACCTTCATTTTTCTCCAAAAGCGATAACAGAAAGTGGTTAACTTGGTGGTTAACTTTGTCACCTCAAATGGCCAATTGAACTGAACAGTCAGAAGGTCATCAAACTTGGTTGCCAACAGCATTTAGTTCACTACAACTAATATTAGCTTACATGGCATGACTATAACCTGAGAGAAAAAAAAAAAACAACATTTCAACAGAGACCATCATTTTGGCTGTGAAAGTCTCCAAGTTCATGCAGAAAACCATGGAAAAAGTATACCATGCCACTTGGTGAGAACCCGCAGATGCAAAAGCAAGCAAGAAAGTGTTGGAATGCTCTAGAACAGCTAGAATTTCAAAGAAGAGTTCAATAAAGTCTCGAGAGAAACTCCACAAACAACCTTTGTCTCAGTATCTTAAGATAACTTCCTTTACTGATCTCGCTTTTCCTTCTATCAAGCAGTAAGAGGAAGAAGTACATGGCTGAAGGTCACTGTGAAACCTCTCTTTGTTGGGCTGTGAAGGGACTGTGCAAACATCCCAAAAATATCTCATGACCTGAGCTGCCACATTGATATTAAGAGAAGGAAACAAGGTAACAAGGAAGCGCATGAGCACACCGGAATGACACTATTACCGGAAAAATAGTGTCAAGCAGCTCTATGTTATATGGGCAGAACAGAGATAAGATATGTTTGCATGTTTGCAGGTCATTGTTCTTTTATTGTTCTGGGGAAAGCTGGAAAATAAATATATATATAATTTTATTTATTTGATGATTCATTTTTACACGGACAAGACACAGAACTAAAGACATGCTTAACTTTAAAGGGAAAGGTTTGGCCTTGACGGAGGTATTTTCTGCCCACTGAAATCCACAACAGTAACCCATATTAAAATGTTCGTCATTGCCATCTAAGCCCATTCTATCTACGCTGTATTGCACGGAACGAGAGAAGTGGACCTGAACCGGGAGCGGTCCGGAATAAATACGATTTTAACGTTGCAGGGAATAGCCATAGTGACTGTTTGAAAACAATCGAAGGCACATGAATATTCCCCTTGATCAACAGTTTGAGAAGTGATTTGAAAGAAACAACGAAAATAAATGACGAAAGAAACAACATCAGCAGACATCGTCGAAAGAAGGAGTGAAGAAGGCCGAGCAGCCTGAAATATGAGGGACCAGGTGGTCTTGCTTATATCGTCACGGATGGCCTCCAATCAGAGTTCAGTGTAGATTTAGGCAGGGAGCTGCTTCAGTGCAAGAAGCGGATACTCATCTTCTGCTCAACGTCAACCTTCTCCAGCACCTTAAAGTGAGGAAAAAGACAAAGTCATGCACCCTAGACACAAGACTATGTATGATAAAACCACTCATCATGTCATAAACAAAACATTTAGCTTGTATGAATTATCTACAACTGGTACATATACAGTACTGTGCAAAAGTCAGAGACAAAAAAGCCATTATAATTAATCATTGAGGAGTATTAACTTAGCATATCACATTTTCAGTATTAAGTGTGTCCACCCAATGGATTTATTACAACTTTCTTTTTTTTTTAAAGAAATCTGCAGGGATATTTTTCCACAGCTCCAAAGTTCAGTCTTAGAAGTTGACCATGTTTTCTACTTCACACAATTTAAAATCCGTGCTAAAAAATTTGGATTTATCAGTCCATAAAACCTTTACTCCACATCTTAGATATTGTGTTCTAGTGCAGATTTTTCCCCTTTTTGTCTACTTCCCTTTCTCCGTTACTGCTTCTTGACAGCTACAGCTTTCAGATCCATTTTAATAAATTTTGAACTCCAATTCTGGAAACTGCTGCACACCCATACTTATTTTCCCCTTCCTTATGCAAAATCTTATATCTAATCTCTTCAGAAACATGTCCTTGTACTCAATGGCCATTTTGACACAGTTAACATTTTGGTGGAATTTGGAAATTAAATAAATGAAAGATTGTTGCTACAGACTGGACACAGGATACAAACAATGACCTTGACAAAGGTTTGACTGGGGTTAGACTGGCTTTACGTGGTAGAGCTTTCACCTAACTAGTTGCATGTTGCAAGCAAGCACAAAGCAATTAAAAATAATCAAAGTTGCATGCAACATATTTAGTTATTCCACTAGTTATGTGAGATGGTGAGGTTTGACTGCATTTAGTGACATTATTGAGGTCAAGTACTGCTGTTGGATGAGGAGTTCGGGATCACAAACACCACTACAGCTCATCTCAAAGCTACTGGACGGACTTTAGGCACCAGAGCATCCATTCTGGACACTTAAGGTATTTATCATATCTTTCTTATTATATAAAACAATTTTCTATTTTCTAGCCATCACGGCTATGAAAGAATAAGAAAACAATTCTGTGTTATATTGAGGAGGTCTAGAGAAGAGAAGACAGCTTATAACAGCAGGTTAACAAAGCAGAACATTAGAACCAAGCACCTGTGTGAACCATGTAAAGCCAGCCTAAAAATTCTGTGTTCCTTGTATAATCAATAATCAATAGTGATGTTGTATAATCATTAACAAATGGGCTTTGAGAAACAGGTATGATTATGCTCTGATGAGCTCCCAACTACAAATGGCTGTATCTACTTTCTGAGTTCCACACAGGGCATTTATACACTGCTGACGTAACTGGTGGTATGTGGTAAATCACCTTAATGAACTCGCTAAATGAGATGCACATGTCTCCATTAGTGTCTGCCTCCTGGATGGTCCTGTCAGCAATGCTGCCCAACTGCTCATCAGAAATATTCACGCCAACCATCATCCGCAGCACCTGAAAACACACGTGCACGAAAGTTACACGATGAATGTACGCTACTTAAAAATTGGAATCACTTGTCATTCATATTTACTGTTATGATTTTCAATAATAACTTGTACAGTGTAAATAGAAATACTATAAGCTGTTCACCAGAAAGTGTTTTAAGACATTTTATTAAATAATTCAATTTATTAAATAATTCCAGTTATTTTTTTTTTTAAACACAAAATGTTTAAATAATAAATAATTGCTTTATTTATGTATTTATTGTAACTTCTTTATTAGATGTCTGTCTGAAATTTGATCACCACTTTTCAAATAAATTGGAATTTTGTGAATATTAATTTTATCAGTGATTTACAGCTTTCTCAATAATGTTTGTATAATCTACAGACCCATTCATTATTCTGGACACATCTAACGTTTCTTAATGTTTTAAAGCTTCCAGCAGTTAAAACCACAATTTTGTAGAATAGTATCATCATAACAGAACAGAACAGAATAGTATACATTCATTTTCAGAAAATGCATTTTATATGACAGAACACACTCACTCTAAACTTTCAAACAGTAGTGTATATTGGGAAACACAGACACTACTTTTTTGTAACATTAGAGCAGATACAAGATAAATGATATCAGTGATCAAAGTGTCTCTGCTGCATATAAAGTGTTAATTGTCTTTCAAATGTAAATGTATGTAAACGTGTGATATTCACTATCTTTATTAACTAAACAACCAGGCGATACTGCATCTTATGCTAAGCAAAATGGCCACAAGAGAAGATTAAATAAAGAAGGAAAAATAAATAAGATTTATTTGCTGGATGTGTGACTCAGAGTTATCAGAGTTAAAGTAGGAGTGTGTTAAATCACATACACCTACAACACAAAGATAAATTACTAAATGAACCAAAAAAATCAGGTATGGATCGGCTCTTATGCTAGCTGCACACAATAAACACATGATAAATGTACTCTGTTCCATTAAAATACAAAACATTTTCATTGGGATAGTCAAACATTATTTTTGTTTAAAAATGCCAATATTTGAAATGACCATTCCTAAAACACACTGAAACTGAAGCTAATGATCCTACATTTTAATTTAATCTTTAATTTTATCTGAAATGTCCCTTTACTTGTTACATTCATGTTTTTTTATCTCTGTCATTGCTGCGAAATAGTGCCCTTAGTGGAAAATAAGGAGTGCCTGAGCGTAGTCTCAGTTAGTCCCTTCTCTCATCCTCTCCCTGCACTTTACTGAATAGCCGGTTTCAGGTGACAGGGAGGGGTGTCTTGGAGGGGATTATTCGCTTTAACCAAGCAGTCTCTGTTCCCCTCATGTAGAACAAGAAAAAGGTGTCCAGTACAGTAAGACTGTAAGTGCCTGATTTGAGACTTCTGGTAAGCCTGAGCAATAAAAATCTCTGCTTACCTGGAGGAGCTCATCTCTGGAGATTTTATCATCTCTGTCCAGGTCATACAGCCGGAAAGCAACTGGAAGAGGATGACAGATCAATGATCAACACAGTAAAGCTGAATTATATTGACACTGGCTTGTTTCTAGGCAAGAAAGGCTGTGTAAACACTAATTATAGTAATAAAGCTTGAGCTATTGGTGTATTTCCAGGAAAGAAAAACTGTATAAGCACTTAAGGGCTTTTAAAGGTTAAACACACTGTTGCTGTTCTATGTCAATTTTTTAAATTGTCATTCTTCCGCATTATTTGAACACGACAGCTGTCCTTTACATTGTTTAGGCATTTCACGATGAATAGACCAATAGAATCCGAAATGACAGAAAAATTAAATCTTATTACATTCGCTTACATTAAAAATGAAGAACCTTAACCCTCTTCTGTTTAGTTACCACTTTGGACTTTCTGACATTCGGGCCCAACAACTGTCAATGATCAAAAGGAGTTTATTCTAGGAAGGATTAAGCAAGGAGACACTGGTGCTTAATAAGCTTATGGGTGGACACTTAAGGGTGGTTTGTGCATACATTAGGCTTAGTCATAGGCTTAAAAAGATTTACAACTGCTATTGAAACTCCAGGCTCTATTGAGAACCACCATTAACAGAATTTCTAGCAGGATTGATCTTAAACCCTTCGGCACGTAATTTCTGATGCTCTCTACAGCGCACGTTGTCTTTAGAGCATGTGTTCTGCATTCTATGAGAAGCGCTTTAAAACTTACTGTACCTCACAGATTTTACTACATTAAAGCAGCATCCATATAGTGTCCACTAATCAGAGGAAAATAAACTACTACAAATGGGAAATGCACTTTGCTGAACCTACTCACAGTGTAATTTCTTTCAGAAAAATACAGCAATGAAACTGAATTAAACAATGACAATCTGACAATGACAATACCAATGCCAGTGTTACTCCCTTTTTACGCTTGGAATCTTGTGCAACTAATGGACTTACTGCAATTACTGTTTGGGATGAAGACCACACCTGAATACCTAGCTAATATATTTCCTTACTGTCACTACCTTCTCTGTGATGAATTTTCACATACACACCCTTTTACAGAAATAGATGTTCATGAATAACAACTGTGATAAAGTTGACATACCTTACTTGCACTGAATAGTTATAAAACAAGCTAGCGTTGTGTTTTATGCTATAATATGGATACTACAGTAATGTAACGAGGGTGTCTAGAACAAAATAAAGTTACATTTTTATAAAAAAATTAAACAATTTCCTCCCCAATTTAGTCAAAAGAAGCACCACTGCATCTTTCTGAACTGCCACGAACACAATGGCATTCAACAGCTAAACACGCTTGGAGGAGAACACTAACTGCTAATTAAGTTACAGCACCAAACAGAGGCCTGTGTTGGGTAGCACTGCATTAGGTAATGGGAGGAGAGACAGTGAGAAGGAGGACAATTATGCTCTCTCTGACTCCCGATTGGATGAGATGGCTGCGGCATCGCTGAGGTTCGAATTCATGTTCCCGACTATACGTAAAACTCTTAGATGCTTGCGCCACTTAAAACTACAATCCCAGAGACAACCTTGGATTATTTCCCACTTTTATGCAACAGCACAGCTAATGTTAAATGCATTTTATCTACACATTTAAAATATATTTTGATTAAAAAAAATGTACAGCTTGCATACTAGCTGTTCAAATTTCTACAGCACAGGGTGGAATATAAGCCTTGGGAAGTTTAATGTTATACTATGGCCAAACTATCCAACTGCAGTGTTGCTCATTACTATTTAAACTAAGTCGAAGATTGTTTGCTTAGTTGTTATCACTTAACGTCCCATTAAATGTCAAATGAGTGTTTTCAGACAATACATAGTTTGGGCTTTGACTACAGCTGAACAAAGCTGAAAGTATGGCAAGAACAGGAATCTTACAAGCCCAAATCTCTCAAAAAAAAAAAACAGTGCTTCCTTGAAAAACCTAGTTGTTACTGTTGAAACCTGGGCTCATCCTAACATGTAAACATTTCTATGTAGTGGCACTGCTTTATGGTTTTATGCCTGTATCTGACAGTGTAAACAAACTTAAAATGTTGAAATAAAATGACTTTACTGCTGTCAGTAATTTGTGTAGGCTATAAATAGAATTTTCTGACTAAAGCTTTTCTCTTGCAGATTCAGATTTTGTTGACAGGTCAATTACAAACATCAGCACACAAGCATTCAAGCATCCCAGCAACAAAAATTACATTTTAATTCATTCCCACATTTCTATCATGTTAGGATGTCGTTAACCTTTAGCATTTGGTCAGTTTTACGTTTTGCCAAAGGTTCTGTCCATAAATCAGTCATCCATTTATGGTGCATAGGAATAAGGTAGATAAAACTGTTCTAAAATCAAGAAGCAACATTCAAAGCCATAATAAAATACTTTCTACTCACATTAATGCAATTTGCATTATTTTTCAATATTATTTTAAAAATGTGCTCTTCATGGAATAATCTTTGACTGTTAAGAAGCTTTTTGACTAATACAATTACATATTTTTATAATGATAGATTTGGTTAATATATTGCTTTAATTTGTGGGGATCTGTTTCCAGCCACATATTCATATTTCACAGGGTTAAACTATATGTAGGAAGCCCACTCACAGGTTTATGGTGATTAGGGGTTTGGTAAACGCTCAGTTCAAGGCTTGATGATCAAAGCATACTCACAGAGCAGTTTATTGTTCCTGCTGTTGAGAGGCTCCCCAGCACTTGGGTCTTTGTTCTTTTCATTGTCCTCCACTGGCCGAAAGTGTGCCAACGTTCGCATGAAACCTCGGAAGTTCACCTGATCCTCACTGTAGGAGTTGAGAGAGGATCAGAAAGAAACAAAGGAGGACAAGAGCTGATCATCAGAGGACTAGAGCACTAAATACACAAAGCGATATCATGTTAGTCTGGGCTTTCCTGACCATAGACAAAAAAAACAGTGTGATAAAAAAGTGGGTTTTACACTTGTATATAAAGTAGCCAAAAATCCTCTCCCAGTTAAAAACACAGACACAGCCGGGTCAAATTTCTCTGAATCCAATGAACATGAAAAAATGTGGGGTATACGACTTTTTGTTCTGGAGTTAAACCACTGCACTTTAGTCGAATGGGATGATCTCACTTCTGTAAAACTTACTGTTTGGCTTGCACAATTACTCTCAAGAATTCAACACCTAAACACCAGGTAACCTTCTTCATTCACTATACCAGGGGTTGGCAACATGCGGCAGCCGCATGAAGCTCTTTTACTGCTCTGTTGTGGGTCCACAGCAGAAATTGATTTCCAGGTAAAAATAAAATAATCCTCCTTTGCAGTAAAATAAAGCTCTGCTGATGGTTCTAACACAGTTTTAACAATAAATGGTCTTAAACGCTGGAGTTAATGTTTAACTACTAATTCACCCTTTAACCCTGAAGACTGGCGCACAGACTGCTGGTCACCATAGCAACACAGACAACAATCTTGCCTAGCTAGTTTCTAATGAAAAGGCAAAGAGAAAGATTTAAGATGAACATCGATCATTTGGAGACGAATATAAGCACTCCAGCTGGTCTCCTGATACGTTTAATCTGCAACGATAAACTGTCAAACACTGCTGCCTCAGGCACTGTTTAAGGTGGAACGGGAAAATTCCAACAAGAAGCCAGCAAAGGAGAAGCTGACTTCAGTCTCGTAAAATTCAAACATTGAGAGACATTTTACAAGACACTGTTCTACTTTTATGGAAAAGTTTCCTGCTGGAGATGTGAGAAAAGTGGCTATAGCTGAGCTAAAGCATAAAGCAGAGCAAAGTAAGACTGTGTTTTCATTTATATTATATTTTTAGCCTATACTAGGACATCGGCACATCCTGAGACATATTTACAGCCAAGATAGTAAAATGGGCATAAAACGTTGTGGCTCTCAAAATGGTTTGATTTTTGTTGAAAGAACAAAATGGTTCTTCTTAACATTTGGGTTGCGACCCCTGCACTACACCATGCTTGAAGACGACATCTGGATGTTTCTAAAATGATAAATAATTCGAAATGTTTTGTCTATCTGCCTATCTAACTGGCTCACTTAGATGCCCTTTGGAAAACACATGGTTGCCTGTGCCTTCTGTTGACACACCCATGGAAAATAAGTTTGTTTTTTTTTACATCTTGAGGGAAACCACTCACTCAGACCACAGCAAACCAAAACATCCCAGAAGGACCCAAAAAAACATCTGAAACCATTAGAATCAACAGCTAGAATTACTCCGCCTACGTGCCATTCCTTCTGGGAGCATAATGATAGAGTCTCCACAGGCTGTCTCACAAAACATGTTCATTCAAACATAACCACAATCAACCAGACAGAAACTAATAAACAAAGATCCACAGAGTGGAATAAAAACAGTCATAATAAAGAAATACACTACATGATATTACTCTGTCTTAGTCGTCTCAGAACATTTTTCATAATAGTAATGAAATCTCTGGACCCTGGTCATATACATAGTCTGAAAGATGGTTAAAGTCTTGTGTAGGAGGGCTGTGCTAATTACACTCTACTTACCCCTCAGGGAAGAAGGCATTGATTATCCGATCACCAAGAGGGTTGATGGCCAGCTCTGGAATTCTCTGGAAGTCTTCACGGCTGAGCAGAGAAGAAAAGGACGACACAGAGGAAAGTAGGAGAATTGTTAATGGTTACTTTCTGGTGCAAAGTGCTTTTTTCATTTTTATGTGACTGAAAAAAATATGATGAGTGGCAACACAAAAGTCTACAAGTAAGGCAGGGAGTTATGCAGTTCTAAATCATATTAGGTCTTATAACATAGGTTTTACTAGAGGGGAGCCCTCAGGACCTTCCAGGCCTTCGGAAGTCTTTAGTACTAGTCTTTAGTCTGTAACTTGTAGTTCACTTTCATTTAATATAATCATCATGGTTGCTGTATTTAAAGTTTGCATGTATTGTAGTAATGCTCTTAGTTCATCGTTAAGTGTTGGTTCAATCAGAAAATTTGATTATTTTTTCCATAATATCTGGGTAGATAGAGCCAAACTAGCTCTCCCGTTAATCAGGAGTTCAGAAGCTGGACAGGCCTAAGTCAGATAACATAATTAGTGAAATCAACTCATCATTTTCAGTGGGTGGAACTGTTTTTTTTTGTTATAAAAAACATCACTCTAGACCTTCTGGAAGTTCTAGATAGCTCACTGTCAGCAAATATGAGCGGCATCCTGACCAGGTTTCAGCAAGTTAATAGAAACTGAAAACAGCAGTAGCTCTAAGCTAGGGCTCTTTAATGAAAGAGTAAAGCTGCAACGTAACGTAAAATAAGTTAGTTGCAAGTTTATAAGTTAGCTATAAGTTTAATGAAACATGGGTATGTTTGGATATGACATAAAAAATAAAATGCTTTCATAAGTTTCAGATACCAGTGTTTAATCTACAACAGCCAAAAAATGTTGATGTGTTCCAATGCTAGCTTAGTGCTAACATACTGCTGGCAATCCCATAGGGGCGCTAACAGAAATTAGTATTATCATACAGACAGTTTTTCCTACTTTTCTGACATTTGTGGCCTGAACTAAAGGCCTAGCTCTAACAGCCACAGTCCCAAATGGGATTTTACCAGATTTTAGCAGATTATGTGAAAAGTCCAAAAATGGTGAAGCACAAACAGCCGCACCCCAAAACAGATTACATTCGAACAGCCTGAACTGATTCACACAAATATTTACAGTTTTGGTACACATCACTACTTTTTTTGTCGTAAACAGGCTTTCTTGTTCACTCTTCTGCTGTGCTCTAATGAATAAAACATGTGTTACATGACAGACTAGCGCAGAGAGGGAAACTTTGCTTATCATTACCATTATTATTATGTATATTGTCATGTCATATTATTGTCAAGGTAATGGAAAATATTGTCAAATACATTTGATTTCATATCACTAACCCCTAGCTATGAACAGTGTACAATGCCACCTGACATGATAGCTGTACCAAAATCAGTGAATGCATGTTAAAATGAGAATAGGCCATAATACTGTACATGCAGACTTCATTGTAATTTGTCCTGTATAATTTCATATCGAGAGTTAGCAGCGGCTGAGTAATAATAAGCTCTCTTAATTTATATTAGTCATTAGTTGTCTTTTGTTATGACAACTAATGAATGATCAAGTCACCTTCAAGACAGTGATGCCGAGAAACAGTTTACAATGTAGCGTAAGTGGCACAAGGACACAGAGCTCCAGATCCTGTTTACTATTGAAACAGCAAAAGCATTCAGCATCAGCCACCAGCCTTTCTGATCCCATGTTTAAAAAAAGAAAACATAGACCTGTTTGGAACGGCATGCTTATATTTTTACCCCAAACAATGTTATCAGCCTGTATAACCTGCACACCAGCATACTGACCACACCAATTCATCAGCAGAGCTAACACTGTGTGGGCATGCCACGATCATCAAAGGAGAACACAAAGAAACTAGAACTGTTTGGACAGTAAATACGAAAGTACAACGTGATGTGATTCAGTGTGACTATACACATTACAAGAAACAAGCTCTCATGGTCAGACAGACATTATAACAGAGAAATGCTGCGTAATTATGATACAGCTAACTGTAATATTTCTCAAAACTCTGGTGCTAAATATTCAGGTAATTGTCATCCGCTACAGCATGAAAGTATGGAAGCACACAGTGAGCTGGTTTCTGAAATTTTGAAAATAGACCCAAAACAAACACAGCATGTTTACCAAGGAAGGTTTTAACCAAATGTTTACCAAAATATTTCACTTATCACTTATTTTAAATATCTCACGTTGCAAAGGGGATGGTTTCCCAGATCCAGATCAAGCTTAAGCCTAGACTAAATGAAGTTTTTAAATGCAAAAATACTGTTGGCGTTGCACTTTTGTCCAAGACTAAGCTCAATGCATATCCAGGAAACTGGTCCTTAAGAGTCTTATAATACTGCCTTATATTGGAAAATCATTCAGCTCCCTACACTGAGCAGCATTTCATTCTTTACAAACTCCTATTGTAACACCTGATTGAGTGGATAAAACCTTCAGGACTATCTGGATCAGGTAGATCTGAGCTGCAGTAAAACTTTGTGGGAATGTTTTTGTTAATGCAGATATTTCTAAAGTAGTAAACTAGTTCTAAAGTAGATTATTCCTCTAAACACTCATGGCCTGTTACCATTTTCACTCAAAACAGGCTGTTCAGGTTCTACTATAACTTAATATACTATACTTTCAGGCTGTCTGCAAAAGCAACAGAAGGCCAAGTGTATGTGGAGCAAAGTCCCTGCATGAAAGCGGAGGCTCTGCTACCTGCCCATTGTTTCAGTCACTGAGATTTGATAAAGGCCAGGCCTTACAGCCGTCTATACAAACACTGGACCCAGATTACACAAACCCATGAAAACAGCTCAAGATAAAAAGATGAGCCACAATGTACAGAGGTCAGTTCTCATGCACAGCAATGCATTGTGTTGATTGTGCAAACACAGGCTAACTCTGCACCGGAAACACTTTTGCAAGGAAAGGGCTTAGACAATTTCACAATGTGACATACAAGTAACTCTACACTGCAAAACCAAGTACCCACTTCATTTAGGTTAGCCTCACAAACATGTGTGTGTGTGTGTGTGTGTAAAATGTACTGTTCTGCAGTTTTATCTCATAACCACAACCCACTGAGAGCCATCAAGTTTTTTTACAGACATGTTTTAAGGTAGTTTTGTGAGAATGACTCTCTTGCAGATTATCGAATATCACAATTACTCCAAATGCATGTCCCTCTATTGCCTATGGGCAATAATGATATGCATAATTGCAGTATATGTAGACAAACAATTACAATAATACATGTATGAAACTGTCACTGGGGCAGTACCTCTCTTGTCACTGGGGTGGTACCAGGAAGGGTACATCTCAGTATCTTTAGTTAGAGAATCCACTGAAATTATATTTTCTGAGTTGTATTGAATCCACACACCCCGTCTTGTCTCCAGGCTTTTTATTTTATTGTTCTGTTTTAAAACATTAGATTATGAAAAGGTACAAATATACACTTTTCACCTGGAACAACTTTTTTAAAGTGCACAATTGGACCTTAAAGCACTGTTGTACCTTTGAGGGAACATTTACATTGTTTGTACCCTGATGAATGAAAAATGTACCTGCACAGAACCTTCATTTCTATCAGTATAGAGTGCAACATAACTAAGTAAAAACAGCCTTTTCCCCCCATCATAAACTAACAAACTCAAAAACACCAACACTGCTAAGAGTTGCGAAAACTGTTTTTAAGCAAGTTTAATCTGTCTTGGTGGCATTTCTGGGCTTATCACAGCATCCACTATATGGTAAAACTCCACGACATAACATTTTACCCGTATTCACTTTTAGACTGGTATACCTCCCAACCCTATTAGTGAGTGAGCCTGTTCCTGCACAAGTGACAATTACGCACATTTTACAGACAAAATGTTGATTAAGCAGCAGACGTCCTCCCAGACATTATTGTCTCAACACTAATTATCTGTTCACTTTGCATGACACAGCAGTGTTTATTAACGGCCTACGAAAGACACGAGACTTTAACCTTTTCAGCGTCTGCTCAAATGAAATGAATGAGCTATTCTTAAACACAGTAACCTTCTGGTTACAATAAGAGGTTTTGACACAGAAGCCCTCTGAGCAGGATAATCATAAACCACCTGGTAAATATATTTTGTGTCTTGTTTCTGAAACTAAAGAGAGCTGAAATGATTTCCCAACTCTGTTCTTGGCTTAACTGCCATCATTACTTCCCCTATTAGATATTCCAAGGCGACTTTCCCATCACCTCTCAGCTGTGCTTCGTAGCTGATTAAACCGTCCAGTGTGTGTATATACCTGAGAGCACCGTTTTCTCCTTTGTCCAGGCTGTGGAATCGGCTGTAGAGGCGAGTGATCTGACTGTGGGAAACTGCAACAGACAGGAAGGTGGACAGACAGATTTAGTAAATAAGCACAGAACAGGGTTACAATCATCTCTACATGACTTAAGGTCAGTCATTGAAATTGTGTGAAAACTAGAAGCAAACTGGTTTAACATTACAGAAAAGACTCCACTACCAACGGGAGGAATGAAATAACAATAGAACATAATAACACTGATGTTTGAGTAAAGAAAGTAGTACTGAGATGGAACGCTTTCTTTATTTATTTAGTTCATCATTTTCCAAATATATCACATTATCAAAGTTTTAGATAATATCTGAAGTTAACTTGAAATAAATTGAACTATTACACCTTTTTAAGTTCAAACTGGTCACACAAAGCATGACTCATCATGTCACAACATGTAAAAGAGAATGATTACATCAACTACCACACCAGCAAGTAGGGAAAAATAATATTGACCAATAATGTCATGTTTCACCACCCCACCCATCACTGAGCACAAACACAGAGCTAAGACCCTCCCTGATATGGTGATTCACCCCGAAATACATAACGGTACAGAAGGAATCCGCAATATGATGTCCGGTCCATGTTGACTTTAAGGGGACTATATAAAATACTGTAAAAGTTAATTAGACAGATACCAGATTTCCATAGAAAAAACCTAGAATTTATTTAACTTTATTAGTGTTCATACATGTTTTATTACTGTTCTGTACTTTCAACTGTTTTTTAACAATGTGAAGCATTCGTTGAATGACATACATTGCAGTTAATCAAGCTTTTGTCATCTATCAGTGCAGCTAAAGCTGAACATCAATATTATTATTTGATGTCGAGACCAATACACTGGTAAAGATTAGAGCTGAAAGATTATTTGTTTTTTATATCGAAATCTCAATTTAAAAGAGTGCAATTTTCAATTCGCAAGAGTTGCAATTTTCATTATGGCCAGTGTTGTCTTAATTTGGGAACATTAAGGTAATATCAGAGTTTGTAAAGTGCCTGTTGACGAGTTAGACCAATCAGAAGCAACCAAACAACTATATGCTGTGACATCACAACCAAACATAACTGGCAGTCTGGCATGTTCAGTTCAAGTCTCAAGCCAGAATAAGTTCTTGGCCAAAATAACAGGCTTAGACTTAAAATTTACAGAAAATAATCACAATTTAAATTGCAGTCGCAATATTGATCAGAAAAATCACAATTAGATAATTTTCTCAAATCGTTCAGCCTCAGTAAAGATGATATCTTCCAGCACTTTTATATATGGGTATATGAATAAGCAAGTCCAGAGCCTGTAGCTGATCATTCTAATAATATAATCAAGTACGCTAAACGTGAAAGGAAATAGGTCCAAAGAAAAAATAGGACACTGAGCCACATAATGACACTATTTCACACCAGTCATCTATGGTTTCCTTGAATAATAGTAAGCTTGTGACTCAGGCTGCAGTACTACAGAACTCACAGCTTCAGTCTGGTGAGTCCTGTCCTCAATGTGACAATTAAAGGAAGGACAGCCGAGAGACACACGACGCTGGTCAGCAAGGAGTGGTGCAACAAAACCACAATCATGCAAATAACGTTTGAAGATTACAGCATTGGAGAACCTGTCACAGGCCAGATTCAGCCATGTCGAGGCTTAGAGGAAAACACCAAGAAAAGAAACTGATCAGAGATCTAAACACTGGGGTTATAACATAATAATTGTGCTAAACATCACACAAAAAACATCCAAACTGGTTTCCTGGATTTAGACGATCTTTAGATTTAAAGATAATGAGAGAAGCTTAGTTTTGTGAGACACAACAGTCCTTTGACATAAACGGTTTGGTGTAATCCCAAGGAGTAAGATTACCGTGTAAACCATTCATTATAATAAAAGTGAACTTCCTTGTAAGGCAAGTTCACACAATCATGAATAGTCGGATTTGCATCATTTGCTGTACTAGATATACTGCAAGAAGTAACTTTCACAATCCGTGCCCTAAGGAAACGTGCAGAATAGACTGTAGGTAGCTTTCTGTTGTGATCACAGTCGTATGGTCAACAGTACTGAGTTCCATTTACTCAGTTCCATGTACTTAAGAACCATTTTGATGCTTTTCTGAGTATGTTCAAATAAAACTAACTTCAACTCTGGTATATTTTTAGAAGAAAGCAATGCTCAGTTTTATATGAGTCACAGTTAACAATTCCTCACACCTCATAAATCCGAGCTTTAGCTTGTTATTTTAGACCAAAAGGATCCCAAAAGAAGAATAGAGCCCAAAACTTAAAGGGGAATTCTCTAATTTTTCTAACGTTCTGCATAACTCAGTGGTTGAGTTGTAAACAAAGTCAGTCAGAGCGGTTTGATGTGAAATAGTTAATTTACAGAAAAACTTACAGACTCTGGTTTCTTTACAGTGGTGATGATGCAAATCAGGGGCCCTGATGACCACAACGCAGATATAGCCATTTTATTTACTATCCAAAACCACCAGTGAACTAGTGAGTTTTTTGTATGTAATGCGGATAATGGTAAAATAGTGGTTACTGTGAAAAAATTATGTTTTCTTTGTGGACTACTTTGCCTTAGAACATCCGTCCAGTATCCTCCCACCATGGATAGATTAAAATAAACTGATTAAAATACGTTTAGACCAAATTTTTTCACAAACTACCATAAAACAATGTCTCAGACATCAGGCAGTGTATTCATAACCACTTAACGTAATAACTGTATGCGAGGGAGCTTTTGGAGGTGGACGTCTGGCTCCTATCACCACCATTGCGAACAATTCTGACTCGGGCAGTTTCTCTAGAATGAAGCACTACACACCAAGCCACTCTGAATGACCTTGCTGACATGTTACCCATTTAATCACGCAGAAATTTTGAAAAATCGGTGGCTTTCCCCTTTAAACTCTTATACGTATAGATGCTGCAGCTCTATAGCACTCAGAACCTGGGGGGTTACTCACGTCGGTTGAAGGTAGCTACTTTTACTTCTACTTGGGTAACACTACTTTTAATAGTGGCATTTTAGGCTACAATGCCCACATTTGGTCGTTCATAAAGGACATTTAACCTAGAAGCTACCGTTACCTGCTTGGCTGTGGCACATAAAGCCTTTCACCCACTAGGCATCAGTAGTATGGTGTTAGCCAACATGCTAATCTGACTAATAGTACCCAGCCGACGAGGCTCAAGTTGGTTTCCTACTCGCCAGCTTCTTGTTAGGATTTCCCATTTCCACCTTAAATGGTGGACTTAAGGTGGAACGGGGAAATTTGAACAAGAAGCCGGCAAATAGGCTGCCGACTTCAGCTTCGCCAGCTGACAGACTTTTAGCTGAAACGACAATGTATACAAAGCTTTAACAACTTACATCCAGTCTCCTTCTTAATCTCCTCGATGTCCTCCTCTCTCAATAACGACGACGCTCTGGAGCCCATGGTTTCTGTCTCCTGTCACCGTACGTTAGCTCTCTAACTCGCCCTCACTGGTCAGGGTTTCTCGTCCAGGCTGCTCCTCGTTAGCTGCGGTAGCTAACGGCAACTTACAGACCAGTCTGGGAGTCGCCTGCTGAGCGGGTTTAGCCGGCGAGCTAACTTAAAACACAAAGCCGGGCCTCACAATATATCTGAACCCAATTAGTGCCTTCGATTACTTATTCAGACGGAACAATCTTTGTCTAGCAGCCTTTAAAGGCCTAACCGAGTCAGTTACACACAGCCCAGTGCGAGATTGACTGGACAGACTCTGAACACTCTGTACCAGCGACCTTAGGAAGGCTATGCCTGACGTCGCTAGTGACGACACACAATGGGCGTGTCCGTACGCGCCCCCTTTACGTCACGTTACTTTTGCATTAAAAGAAAGATAATTTTTTTATAGCGTTAAAGGAGTAGTTTTTTAACATGAATGGCATTAAAGAAGTGGTTTAATCCAACATTTCGCGTTAAAAAAATAAAATAAAAAAAATAAAAACATTTTCCAAGCACGTAATTGCTGCTTTCAGACAGTAAAAACTTTTACATCTGCTTTGAGCAGAGCTTTTAAAGGATCACTGAAACTCTTATTCTCATAGGCCACCAATAGCCCTACTTTTAATATAATTTTGCCATCATTTACCCTGTTTTCCCTCACTTATATTTGCCCATCATTCCTGCAATATATCTGTTATCATAGGTTACCTTTCAAGTAACATTTACTGGGGGAAGCAAACATACAGTTTTTTCAATTTACTTTTAGTTATAAAGCTAAATTTTCCATGTCATTTTATTGACCTTCAGTGTATGGCAGCCTGTTTCTGCCAGGTAGAAGAGAGAAAAAACATTGCCTGTGTCTCTTTTTTCCCTTCTATGTTTCTGGCTGGACATGGTATCTTGAATTCATGACTTATTATTATTATTATTTTTTTTTAATCCTGACTTAGGATCTCAAAATAATGACTCGTTGTCCAACAATGTTTGAACTATATGTTTCTATGAAATAATGACATGTTTTCTCATCATTTTACCTCAATTTTGAAATACTGGCTTACTATCCCAAAACATATTACTTTCTTGAAATTTAAGTAATTATTTCGACATAGTAAGTCATTATCTTTGTCAAAATCTTCGTCAAAACAAGATTTTAAGATCTTGTCAGTATTTGACATACTTCTGCCAGAGACAGAGAAGCAGAAAAAACACAGAAAATAGGCCCAAGTGACCCTTTTCTCTTCTACCTGTCAGGAATGGGCCAGGTTTTGCCACGATATTTGATTCCAGGTGGCACACAAAGAAGACAGTGAGAAGAGTAGATAAGGTTCATGATTTGGCTCAGAAAAAACAGCATGGTGAGACCAACACATAGACAAAAATATAAAGATGGGTTAAATTTAGTTTATATCTTTTGTCTTGGAAAACAGTGATAAGCAGTAGAGATTGTTTTGACCATATAAATTTAAGTGTCTCACAAGTTCATTTTATAAACATTAATCGAGCAAGTTTGATACTACTAGCTACTAGCATATCTAGCTAGTAGCTAGATATGCTTGCTTGTAGCTATAAGGCCAAGTTACAGCATTAAAGGAGTAGTTTTAGGTATCATTAGCATTGAGGGAATAATTCAATATTTCCGAATCCGTCTTCCTCATGACTGCTGTAGTCTTTCCTTACGGGATGTTTATTGCTATGTTGCTGCTGCTGTGACTAAGTGACTACACAGGCCTGCAGTGATGAAATATCATCTTTGGAAACTTTAATATAAAGGTAATGCAACTATATTATCTAAAAGTTTTGCTACTGCTTCTATCTTATAATAAGCTTAGATAAAGAAAAGGACACAACATAACCCTATACTTTGCCTAGGCCTGCTTTACCTCTCCTCTCTTGCACAGCTAGGCCTAGGCTATTAAGCTAAAAGGTGAATAACAATTTATTGCTAAAGAATTCTAGAGTATGTCAAACTCAATCATAAATCGTGCATTACTCAAGGAGGCAAAGTTGTTTATCTGTTTTTTAGCTTGTATCTGTACAAGGCCCAAAACATTTGAACCATAACTGCAATTCTATACCCTGTTGAAGCCTTTGGGATGTTTGTGTTGTCTTACTTTAAAACCATGAAAAAAGTGTTCCATTATTCTTCTTATTGATATGATATATACTCATTATAGATCTATCATATGTAGAAACATAAGAACAATTCCAGCAACACACAGTCATATAGTGATATACATACAGCCAGCAGTGACAGTAATTATAGTCCTGAGGAAAAACTGGTAGGGAGATGTTTGAGCAGCAGATTTTCAAGCTATTTATAAAATGCTATTTATAAAAAGTCATCAAAGTAGACTTGAAAATAAAGTGTATCAAACTGTAAAATCAGTGTTAATTGTTACAATTTGTTCCATATAAGCATGTAATTTTTTCTTGTTTGTGTCTGCTGCCATCAGTGATGCGAGGAGGACCTCTGACCAATCAGACGCCTGGCTGGTGTAACTGGGGGCCTTAAAAGGAGGCATTTAAGCTGGCTGAGGGAGAGGGGATGGTTACTGCATACATGCTATATTTTACTTTGTTTTAAATCACTTGTGTTAAAGGGGAACTCCACCAATTTTTCAAAATTTCCTACAGAATCAAATGGTTAAGATGTAAACAAAGTATGTCAGAGTGGTTTATGTGAAATGCTCCATTCTAGACAAACTTACAGAGTCAGAATTATTTACAGTGGTCATACTAGGAACCAGACGTCCATCTCTAAAAGCTCCCTCACAGAATGTTTTTACATGAAACGGTTATAAAGGCACTGCCTGATGTCTGAAACATTGTTTTATGATAGATTTGTGTTAAAGCTTTGGCCTAAAATGTCTTGTTAATCCATTTTAACCCGTTCTGTCAAAGGCAGAGGGGTACATGCAGGGAGCTGTGAGGCAAAATAGTCCCCAAAGAAAACTAACTTTTTCAGATTTTTCACAATTTTGCCGTCATCAACATTCCATACAAAACTCAGAAGACACATGTAGGTTCACTGGTGGTTTTGGATTGTAAATAAAATGGCTATGTTTGTGTTGTAGACATGGTGAGCCCTTGTTCCTGTCACCACCACTGTAAAGAAATCTGGGTCTGTTAGTTTCTCTACAATTAACAAATAACTGAATTATGCAGAAAATATGAAAAATTCACCTTGTGCTTTTGCTTTAGTTTGGGTGTTTTACCAGCATACCCCTAACAAATTGTCTCCTGTATTAGGGATGTGTTTAGGCTTTGGTGTTTTATCCTCACATTTTAACTTTGTTTTACAAGAGATAGCAGCTCACGTGTTGGGGTGTGCTTTAGCTGAGAGATTTATCAGCACGCTCCCTTATTCTGTTTACAGAAGGCTTTGTTTCTTGTGTTAGGGTTGTGCTTATATTGGGTCTGTTCCCAATGCTTTTAAAACTCCATCACCAGTTCAGTGTTTTAATGCCAGATGTTACTGATCCCACAGCACCCTAGACAAAACGTGAGGTTGTAAGACTGTTGCAGTAAAGTTGCAATCTTGCAGGCTTGCCCAGTCATGCAATGGTGATTGTAACAATTTTGTTCTTTTAACTCCTGTTAGTTTCACAGTGACAACATCTAGAGATAAGCAAGCTACACAGCTCAGAGCTACGTCAGCATACAGCCAGGAAACATGCATTCTTGGCAGGTATTTGCTTTTGTTTTTAATGATTTGTGTATCATCACTATCATAAAATCTTTTTTCTCCACATTGGTCACTTTATATGAGGAAAAACATACATACATACATACATACATACATCCATCATCTAAACCGCTTATGCTTCTGGGTCTCGGTGGGGTGCTGGAGCCTATCCCAGCTGTCATTGAGCGGAAGGCAGGATACACCCTGGACAGGTCGCCAGTCCATCGCAGGGCGGAGGAAAAACACTCTTTTTCAAATTTCTGCATAATCACCCACATCATGGCCACATCATGGAAAAACACATTATCCTCACTTTTTGAAATAAGAGTTTGATGTAACAATTACTACGCTGCTCACTCTCTGGTCCATGCAGTCCATACATAGAAACTAAGCTGCAAAATAGTTCATTTTGAGCCACTGTTCACTGTTTGTGATGTCACAAAAATGACATATATACCTGTTCAACCTACAGCCATTTAGCTCTGCCCATTTAGCAGCCTGGGCTGCTTTTAAAATGAGGCACAATACAGGGCAGCCAATGTGAACAGAGCTCATTTACATATTAGTCTTAAAGGTACAGTAACAAAAGCAGCCTGTTTAATTCTAAGGGATAAGGAGAGGTTAGAAAATGGTCATATAAAGCTGAATTACGATTGTTTTGGTTCATAAAGCTACACAAATTAGTTGGGTCCTCAGGGGAAAACATAAATAACAAGTACACAAAATTATTTATGTTATAATATATATATATATATATATATATATATATATATATATATATATATATATATATATATAGTAATCAATGTCTCTAAAAGCTATCTCACAAAGGTATTATATTAAATGTTTACATATATGTCACCTGATGTCTGAGACATTGTTTTATAATAGTTTTGCAATATGGTTATGGGGCCTGGTACATTCAGGGTGTTGTAAGGTAAAATAATACCCCAAAAAATCAGAATTTAAAAAATGACCAGATTTACCACCACTTTACTGCTACCAGCATGACATATAAAACTCAGAAGGCACATGTAGGTTCATTGATTGTGTCTGATAGTAAATAAAATGGCTACTTTTGCAGTGTAGATGTCACAACGCCTGGTTCCTATCACCGCAATTGTGAACAATTCTGACTGGGTCCGTTTCTCTAGAATGGTGGATTTTGTATCAAACCACTCTGAATGTCTTATATTTACACCTTAAAGACTGAATTATGCAGACATTTTGAAACATCAGTGCACTCATCCTTTAAATGTTAATCTAAGTTAATGTAACTAACCTTATTTTGTCATGGTATGTTTACATAATGTAAAAGACAGCTGGTATCATCAAATAATGTACAAAAATTGGAGATAGTTTAGTACAGCATATAGGCTGAGTCTGATATAAAGAAGAAAAGGATGGTGTAATTGTAATTGGGAGTGGATGACATACACTACATTTCTCTTAACTATCTCAGTAAATATGTAAAATACCTGTCAATTAAAAATCCCAGTCTAAGAGTTTTGAGATTGTAAGTTAGAATATGACTGGAGCCGAGTTAAAAGAGGGCAATAACAGGAAAACGAGAGTATGAATGGGAAAATAAATGCAAATGCACTCTTTCATTGGTATAATATAATATGTTGT